ATTATTATTATTATTATTATTATTATTATTATTATTATTATTATTATTATTATTATTATTATTATTGGTGAAACGATTCATCGATGCTATTGATATAAGTAACATAGATACAAGAGATGTAGAATAGGTGCAAAACAATATTTACTTTATGTAAGTTTTTTTAGTTTACAACAGTCACGAATGAGTATTACTAGTTTGCCATGTTATGCTTTGAATATAGCATTCATATGAAGCTTATGCATTCCAAAGCACACATTTATGTTAGTAAAAAAGACTAAAAAGACTCGCTTGCCATCTGCAAATAAAAGTCAGTAATCAGTCCCCATCCCTATTCTATACTAATTATCTTAACTAATTAGCATGTTCAGTCTATAGAACATACATTCCAAAAGTATTCCACATATATAATGAAGTACTTTCCTCAAAATTGAATAACCACTTTTACATGAAGTTTCTACACTGATATTTATCTTGTTTACTTTGGTCAGTTTGAAAGCAACATTACGTGTGAGTCACTCAGGTGAAATACGTTACACTGAAATCTCATTGATAGCTATTGCTTGTTCCGGGAAAGGTTAAATAATAACTACCATTTAGAAATTAATATAGCTTTATCCATGCATGACCAATTTGAAGTATTAAAAAGTAACCTAGAAACTTCGAGCAAAAGTCATTGATATGTAAAGTACTTAAACAGAGATGCTGTCAGGGTGTGCGATTGAATGAATCGCGCAAACTGTACACGAATTCACAAACTTGGAGAACAGTGATGAGCGAGAATTACTGAAATTAGTTGAAAATCCCGGAAATGGCAATGTGCTCGGCGACTTGTACAATTTTTTATTTAATCGTTCCTCTCGCGACGTGTTTTTCGGGTAGACAACTGTTTATACATCTGGATTTAAGTATGACACGAATGGTTGTTAACTAAATTCGATTGGCACATTGTGCCCTGTAATAAGCATTATTTTGTAGTTTGAACCTTCCTTGAAAAAAGTTGTACAAATGTGTGTTTAGATTAAGGGCTACCTAGAAACCAAAATGTCTGATTCAAAGCGTGGATCATTACGTTTTCGTTCAACAAATACTATCAGGTTATAGTGCTGATGACAATAATGTTAAAGCTATGAAGTATATTGAATCATTGGAGCTTGGAAATTATTAATGGAAATACCAGTGAGTGATTTTGAGCCCAAAAATGGTGTCAAATACGAGTCAGGTGTACATGGTGGATGAACAAAAATAGACGGCATGATGTTCAATCTAATTTTCAGCGGGTTTTTTAAATAAAATTTAAAAATTGCAGAATATTGAGCCCAATTAAAATGCAGACAATTTTTTAAAAAAATAATTTTCATTTTTTATCAATCAATTTAGTCCTACGGATCATACGCTACAAAAGCATATCTGCATATCAGAGTTATGATAAAATGAATAAATAAGACTGAAAAATGAAATTAAGAAGTAAAAATATATATGTTAAATATATGGCCCTTGTTATGTCTGCATTATGGAACAGATAATAAATCTGGTATGGTAGTTAGTAAATTACTGATTCAAGAAAGTACGTTTACGTAAGTGACAAATCCTATTTTGGAGCCGATGTATCCAAAAGATAAAATATGTGAGGTCTGGAAATTCGTAAATAACAGCCACAAACATCATTTCCCCAACATATTCAAACTGACAAAGCTAGCTATGCATATTGCCCCTTTCGAAGGAAGCACTGAAAAATATTCATTGTCCTTTTGTATCTGCGGGAAGTACAAGGTAACATAATTTGTTTTGTTGATATTCATCCTCATTCACCTGCCCTTATTTATTTTAGATGATATTTTTGGTACGAGGAAATTGCTTTAAGTTTAAGTGAGACGTGAAATTGGTAAAGTTTTTTTTTCAAAACATTTGTCATGCAAAACAAATGGCCTCGTTCCTATATGGTTTGAAATATTTGAATAAAACGCACTTACAACCAAACAAGCAATCTTTTCGAAAGTAATTTTATTTTTTCTTAATCGATGGGAATTGAATATTATTATGTATATCTTATTTAATTGTTTGTTAGTTTTTAACGTTGATTAAAATTTCATTGCATGCTATTGTAATGTAACACTGTATGTTGGACTTTAACTTGTCCAAAACTGAATTAATTTCTGCTTGACCTGATTGATTTTTTTTTTAATTTCATTTTATGTAAACAACTAATACATAGCTAAATTATTCTCTATATGTATGGGATAAATATCAAAAAAAATCATTACTATATGAAGTAAATATGTTTATTTGGGCCAGGATTTTGGACTTTCCTAACTGAATTTTACAGGTTATGGTTATAATTTTGTAGATATCAAGATCATTCGAAAGATCATTCGAGAAGGTTACTTTCCATTTAGAAAGTGCTAATTGTGTCCCGAGGTCAAGTAGACAACTATATAATCTTGTAATTGTTAGGATCTGGTCATTCGTGCTTTCAAGTTGTATATTATATGTTGTGACCAGTAGTTTTGGGCTGGAATATGTTCTGCTCAAATTATTGAATTCAGGTGTTTATTTTCTCTGGAAATACAAAAGTTCTCTAATAAAGTTCTAATGCAGACATTCAATGGAATTTATACTGAATTCATACCTGGAATTATAGTACTGTGATTCAGCAAAAGACTGCTGGCACATCGACACTCCATAAGCTATAACAGACAAGTAATCACCTTCAGTTTGGGATTTCTTCGGGACATGTACTGATTTTTATTCAAGACTTTAAATTATTAGGACCTGTGTCTGTAATTCTTTGATTATTGTAGGACTTAATCCGTAATACCGTTAGCACTTTTTAATACTCATTTTCACTATATATTTTGGAGAAATAAATTAATTGTTAAACTTTAGATAGCTTGTTGTCTTTTACTCTTTTATGTTACTTATTTTAAGAGCAAAGCCTCGTAACAATATAAATGGACACCAACTACATTTAAAAGATGAAAAGACCATCAAGTTCTTATGTATATCGATATTTATCGTATCGCAGGCTGCGTATCATGAATTGTAGTCATACACAGTAAAGATGCATCGTTTCTCCCATTATTATTATTATTAGTAGTAGTAGTAGTAGTAGTAGTAGTAGCAGTAGTAGTAGTAGTCGTAGTAGTAGTAGTAGTAGTAGTAGTAGTAGTAGTAGTAGTATAAATCTGTATTATATTACCTGCTATCAGAGTATCTATCTTTGATATTGTTCCGTGACCACTTTAAATATTTTAATGTATCTGACATCATGTTAATGTACTAAACATTTTTCCACAGCGAAACATATTTATCAGAAAGTAAATGAACAAGTTTTACATTTGAGTTATTTAGGTTTGATCTGGCTTTGAAAACTTTGAATACTATTTCATTTTCATTTTCATCTAACAATAGTACAATTTTGAAAAGTTATATTTGGCTGTGGGCCAAAGGGAGAAATTTGCGTATGTTTACTATATTTGAGGTTGATATTTCTTAATATTTGGACACGCGCTTCTAACTAAAACAGTTTATTCCAGTTGTTTGGAATTAAAGATGCGTGGTATTACATGTTTACCGCGGCATTCTTTCGGTGATACGTGGTCACCTGGGTACTTTGTTTATACTGTACCAAAAAGTCGGTAGTTAGTGTCAGTACCAAAATTCCAGAGTAATCTGTGGTATGCGTTAAAATAAATTAACAACTTCTTTTCACTATTCATTAAAAAAATTGTTTCAAAATATTATCTTCTTAACAAACGTTTGTATCATTCAGAAATTAAAGGTGGCAAATATAATTTTATTTTTGATCTTTAAGACTTTGACACCTGTCACGTATTCAAACGCAAAAACCAAAAGAATTGTGAAAGATACTTGGGGAAAATCCAAATTTCTAAAAAAAAAGATTTACTCATGAAACAAATAATGTTCGTGTGTGTGTGTGTGTGTGTGTGTGTGTGTGTGTGTGACAATGTTTCAGACATATGGTAACGATGTCTTCAGTATAACAGTTCAAAGTGATTACTAGCACTGGGCATTATGTGTTCCACCCTGTCACAATAACTGAGACCAAGCTGACCAGAGATAGCACTAACATGTTAAAGCTTGAGCACCAAGCGAGGCAGCTACTAGTACCATATTTACGTCTTTGGTACGATTCGGCCATGGTTCAATCAAGCAAACTCTCGAATCCAAGACGAACGCTGTAAGCACTTATACAACGGTAACGGGTTATTGATGTTTACTGCTCTCTCTCTCTCTCTCTCTCTCTCTCTCTCTCTCTCTCTCTCTCTCTCTCTCTCTCTCTCTCTCTCTCTCTCTCTCTCTCTCTCTCTCTCTCTCTCTCTCTCTCTCTCTCTGATAAATAATTAACGAGTGTTGACTTCCGACTTTCTCGATCTATGATATCTGTTGTAGTCTTTAATATCTACACTTCCTTCATATTTTTACTAATTGGCAATATGATCTCAACACGATGTCTTTCGCAGTATCAGCTTAATTATCAGACTTTAGCAAAAGTTTTTATATTGCACCTTATACAAAAAAATAACATACATAGCAAATTCATCTGCTATAAAGTACTCGCCATTTAATTATCATACGTTCTTTTTGGCTGAAATATGCTGTTCTTTTATTGTTTTCTAATTTTTTTTAATGAATAAAATTGGTTGTTATTTTGCTACAAATCAAAGCATGATATTTGTTCCAGATAGTGATCAACGGGAAATATCTAAAATTGTGTCAGACAATTAAAACATATAATATATATATATATATATATATATATATATATATATATATATATATATATATATATATATATATATATATATATATATTATATATAACACACAACATATATTGGTCGCTGTTATAATTGTGCTATATCGTAGCACATAATTTTTCGTGGTACCCAGTTTTATATAATCTTTCGTTTATTTATCTACATCTAAGCATAAATTTATCATTCATAAGTTTATTAAGCTTTTTGGTCTCAGAAAATTTCTGCTCTGATGGCCTATTGGTAAGAGCGACCGCCTTAGGTGCGGGATGTAGCGGGTTCGAAGTCCGGCCAAGTCTGAGTCTGAGTCATACCAAAGACTTAATAAAATTATACTAACAGCTGCCTCGCTTGGCGCTCAGCATGAAGAGGTTAGTGTTAGGACTGGTTTGCCTGGTGTTAGGATAATGTGACTGGGTGTGACATGTCTGGGACATGATGCCACAGTACCAGATATCAGTATAAATTGCAACACTGTAGACATAGTAGCGATATGACTGAAAAATTGTTAAAGCTACGTTAAAAATCCAAATCACGCACGCATACACACACACGTGCGCGCGCATTACACAGTCTCTTCAAAAGGTATTTAGTAGCGATGGTAGAAATGGAATGGACAGGTCTTTTGAATACAAACACATGCACCACCACTAATACAATTACCATTAATAGAGAGGTTGTTTCACTCAGCTGCAGTAATGGAAGCAGCTTAAAAATAATACCTGCAGCATTACTAGCAGTAGCAGTGGTATTTGTGGACCTTTTTGCATTTTGAAAGGATTTTTTTAATTAAAAAAAATCAGAACCCACGTTCTTACCTAGGAAGAAAATGAGAAGTGTTTTTGATACTTCTAATATTTCCTGTAAAACTAAACATCTTACCAAGAACTTTTTGGCATTTATCATATATCTTGTGCTATGCAATACATTTTTTAATTTAATTTACTTCCTACAGAAAATTCATCAAAATTTATATAATTCCTATAGAAGAAAATATTATAAAATATATTTATACATTTTACTTTGCTCGTCTTTTATGTTACAGCGCTAATTATATCTTCTTTGATGCCTCACGAGAACAAGATGTTGTAAGGATAATGATAAGGTAGCCGAGTTGGAAACTACCTACCTCTCTAAGGCTTACGATATACTTGGTTGTTGAATACATCAGTGCTGGTAATTATACACATATCCAACAACAGACAGTATCCGTGCTCTTCAGTCATACAGTACAAAAAAGAACATATATGAATACAATTTTTCTGTTAATTTAATGGTTCTTGAAAATCAGTAATTCATTGGTAAATGCTGAATGTTTTGGCGTATCAATTTTATTTTCTTTCCATTTTGGGGAAAAATGACCAAATTCTTAGGTTCCTTTGTATTACAATGAGACCTTTGTCTCGATGATCATTGATCATTTTAAAAAAAAACTGTTTGATTTTATTCCCTTTTCTGCGTCATTATTCTGAATCAATTATCTGAGCGCATCCAATTGAATTCAATTTACTATAGTGAATAAACGCGCAGACATAAAAAATGATATTCAAAATTCGATATTTATTACCAATGGGTGGCCTTTGAAAAATGCAAAATGTGATAACGTCACAGCCGGAAAAACAAACAACACGGTTTGTTCATTGTCACACACCATGAAGATAATATATATCTTTTCGTCAATATTTGTGTTATAAAATTATCTAGTAATTATTGAACTAAATAGTTTGTGTACTCGACAGTGTTTTTTGTATCCAGAGGACATTGAGAAATGGTGTCGATTGCCTTTCTTAACATTGTGTCTGTGATTCTATAAAATGGTTTCATCAAATAATATTTTATATTTTCTTTTGTAAAACAAAACGAAAATAAAATAACAAGGAAGCTAACAAACAACAAAATGCACTAATATTTGACAGATCTAAAATTCTGAAGAATCTGTAGTAATAGATTACAATATAATAACGTCACGGCCTGTAATATATTTTAAGAGTTTTTATCCTAAGCTCTTTATGCCCCATAATCAAGTCATCTGTTGATTTCAGGACACAGAAAATAACTGAATTTCTGTCAAATACATATAGGTTTACCCAAAGAGTAAAATGTCTAAATGGAAAATATGCTTGGTTTAAAATATAATATAATCTCAAAGTGAAGCAGAAAAATTAAAACATGCTATAAATCTTTCTCAAAGCTCTAATTCAGAATCTTTTAACAATGCCATCGCCACTGTAGAAGAGGTGGCAGCAAGAGGGTGGGATGCCTGGGTCCAATAGTTTGTCAAAACTTGGGTAACGAAAGATCGTTGAGAAGCGATAACAACTCCACCATCGATTTATTTTCCACCATTAGCGAAACACCTACCACTGAAACTTTGGATGCAAAAGAAAACAATATAGTTATGTGCAACAATGCGACGCTTGAAAAAAAGAGTCAATCCTGCTAACATATTTTAACGAGGCCGTCATAAAACAAGTAGTTGATTAATTTGACAATGTCCATGTGCCTAATCCGTGACAATAATAAGGTCATATATCTTGGCATTGACACGCTTGGTCGTGGAAATATTGACTGGCTTTTGATGTGCCAAAATAACCACATAAAACAAAATGTCGGGCAGTGGGGTAATAGAAAAGAATGTGAAGCGATGGAATAAAAGCCGCAACTGAACAGCAAGTGTTTATTCAAGCAGTAATAGAATGACGCATCGTTTGCTTCGTAATTATTAAGGAACTTTTCATTATCATATTGTTATAGTTTGTGTAATTAAATGTATTTCTTCCTTAGCGCGTGATATCGCTGCAACGCCATCAGTTTAAACGGCACAGATGCCACATTGTTTTAATCAGACTAAACGGCCATCGATTCTTTCTTTTGGGGTACAGAAACATTTACGTTTTCAAAACATGCTGAATTAATTATGGCAGCGATCTTTCGTATGCATCGTGGTATCCACATGGTGGTTGTTATCCCTGAAAATCATTATCAAACCAAAAGCGCTCTAAGGGAAGCATTTTTATAAGGGCGAAAATGGCGGCAGTGAACATTTTTATCGTAACGCGGCATAAAATCAAGGTGATGTCAGTTGGCACATTTTCCAAAACCTGCGTAGATTAGTAAACCTTAGAAGCCACAAGAGAAACAGTCAGCCTATAATATCTGCGAATAATGATAAACTGGCATAGTTGCCATGTTTCTCACTGTGACAAGGGGATGGGTTCAAAACGTTAAACGAATCCATTCTCTACGGTTTGTTGCTAGGGAATGACCTCTCGCGATGTACTTTACCCAGTGTGGATTGATAGAAAGAATAATACAGATCTCTGAGCAAGTATATTGAATAAATAAAACAATGATCCTCCTTCAATGAACACATATAAAACTTAATCAATTTAAGAATATAATTTCAAATGGAAAGAAATCAATTTCTTTTACTACAAAAGAAAGAAAAATGTACGATCATGTACTCAATAAAAGCAAATACAAATTTTACTTTACTATTACTTGTCAGTGACAGAATTAATACAGTTTCATCATAGCCTACGAGTAGTGACATCGAGTTCAACGCAGAATGACATCATCACCTATCTTTATCGGGACATCGAATTTTCCGTTCCTTCCTGAACCTCCATCCTTTATCGAATCGTCTCGACTTGGACCCTTGCCAGTCGAAACTTGAAACGATAGTATCTAGAGCTGGAATTCGGCTGTGGAATCTGATGAATTTTCCTGGAGAATAGGCCGAGAAATCATCAGAAGAAATGCCGAGGAAGCTATATATATATATATATATATATATATATATATATATATATATATATATATATATATATATATATATATATATATATATATATATATATATATATATATATATATATATATTTGTGTGTGTGTGTGTGTGTGTGTGATATATATGTGTGTGTGTGTGTGTGTGTGTGATATATATATGTGTGTGTGTGTGTGTGTAAAATTATCCCAGGTCAGAGGTACACTGCTTAATTCCGAGGAAGCTATATATATATATATATATATATATATATATATATATATATATATATATATATATATATATATATGTGTGTGTGTGTGTTGGTGTGGGGGTGGGGTGGGGGGTGGGGGGGTGTAAAATTATCCCAGGTCAGAGGTACACTGCTTAATTCTGTCTAAATGACTCGCTCTCTCACTAGTTCTGTTTACAATAGAAGAGGCCATTACGTATCCTGACCATTACCCAGGGTCACGAAGTTAGCAGTGTTTTATAGCCCATTTCATACCGGATTTAACCGAGTTGCTTCGTAATTATCCGAAAAACCTCCCGAGTCACTTTTTACTCCAGCCAATCAAACGCTGGTAGGCATCTGTACATAACAAAATGGCATACATTGTTGTTTAGACGTATCCGATTAAAACAAATTCAGAGATGCCCGCTACCTGCCCGCTAAATGCCTGGGATTTATGCAGCTTTACCGTCGAAAAATATTCCAGGTTTGTTATACTGTGGACTAATACGAAAAATTTCTTTTATTGGTAAACGAAACTCGATTTATGAAATGCGGTGTTATGGTAAAAAAAGGAAATAAATTTTTAACATCGACACCGTTTCCATACTCGCATGTATATGTCCAGATGTAAACAGCTCATAGCTACTCTCTCGTATGGCTATAAAATCCAGAAAACGAGACAGGATGGATCCAATATTAAATTTCGTCAATATCTGTGGCATCATCGCTGTTGAATAGGCATTTTTCAACTCTATAAACGAAGCTAAAGTAGTTGGAACAGTTGATACTAATGCGGAATTGTCCGCCTTGTTTTGACCACTAGTCTGGTCCCCTGCTTAGTATGCTACCTGCGATGCACTCCGCTATACTATACTATGGAGCATACTAAGCAGGAGACCAGACTATTTTTGCCTACCAGCTATCGATTGGGTATTGCGATCAGTTGACAACCCGCCACGTGATCAAAATCCCGAGCAAATTACGAAGTTCGCCAAAGTCTCCATGAAATGGTCTATTAGCTTTCCGCTTTACGACAAGCACGTATGTGCCCGTATTTAACACTCCATGACTCCTTTATATTAAGCTACTTAGTACTGTCTGGTGTTAAACTATAAATGTCTTAGCCCATCAATCCAACTATTCTAAAATAGTTTACGTGATCAATTAAATATTGTGAATTAGTATATGAATATACACTCAATATATGGCATACTACACAGATATTTAATTCATAAATCTACGAAACATTAACCATCATGTATTAGGGTAATTTACGAAATTCCTACGCATTCCTACGTATCAA